TAATTGAATTTTAAATTAAACAATTAAAATTTTAATTTAATTAATCGAAGCTCTTGGATTGTAGGATTTGACAGCCTGCTGGTATCCCCTCCTCATTAGGGGAGGTCGTGAAGGCACTGCCCTTTCAAACCCATACAGCCGGATAGGATTCGACGGCAAGGGGCTTCGGGGGATGAATCAATCCCAGTTAGGTCTTTTGGTCCCCCAATCGAAAAGCATTTGGTAACTCGGCAATTTCCTAAGATTTCAGGAACCTTTCGGCACCCCCTCCCCGCAAGGGTAGGTATGGGAGGGCACTTGCCCTTTTAGGACCACTTGATCAAATCAAAATCGATGATTGAGGGCTTCGGGCTCTTTCCACCTAGGAATTAGTCTCCGAGTCTCCAATTTGGCAATCACGATGATTTTTCCCTTTTATTAATAATAATAATATACAAATAATTCTCTCATAATTTCATCCTCCTCACTTATAAATTTCAAAAAGCAAAGAGAATTTAGTCCATGTGGTACAAAGATTAATGGGAGGTGCTCAATTGCAAGTGAGAGAGGCGGATCAGAAGCACAGGGAGACTTGGCAAGGAGCGTTCGTGAAGGCAATCGACCGAAGGAGGTGTATGTGCGGGCCGAAGCAGGCGTCGGGCATGGCTTCTACTTGTGTGAGACGAACGGGAGAAGGCGTGGAAGGAGAGGATTGGATCTTGTCCGATCGAGTTGGCTTTCATGTGCGGGGGTCTAGTTCGCAGACGAGAGAAGCTCTAGGATCGAACAATTATGATGCGGGCAAAAAATATAGGGGTGCCTATACCCTTCGCCCACAAATAAAGGAGACAGGAACTTCTACCGACGAAAATGACTAAGGACGAGAAAAGGGAAGAACAAACTCTTACATTTCAAATAAAAGACCAAAACAGAAATTACAATGACTTACAACAATGACTCATTCACTTGACGACACCCTAAAGTTGCTTCACTTAGAGAATAATGATACAGGTGGAGTGGCACTTGCGAAGAGACGAAAGAGGATAGAAGCCCGAGAAGAAAGGTTGGAAAGAGCCCGCAGGATTTCCGGAGGGGATGAGAAAGAAGGGTGGAAAGAGCCCGCAGGATTTCCAAAGCAAACCCGCAGGTTATAGCTTTTCCAAAAATAACATATCATTCACTTTTTAAAAACATTACAAATCCTCCCATATTTATAGGTGTGAAAGAGGAATACCAAGAGACACCTAATAAATTCTCATAGGAATTCTAAACATCACATAGCATTAAAATACCTAAAAAACATCCCAAGCCAAGGAACCGAAGAGGCATCCACGGGAACCAAGGAGACCGCCCGAAGCCAAGGGGCACGGTCACGGGAAAGAGCCCAGGCACGGGAAAACCAACAGCCGGCCGGAATCCAAGGGGGCCAATGCACAAAAAGCCATGGTGGAATTCAAGGAGCCATACATGGGAAAATAAAACATCAATCTTGGGATTCCAAAAGCCCTTTTGGAACACAAGAGACACCATAACTTAAAACATTAAAAACTATAACAAAAGTGCATTAAATAAAAGATAAATATAAGCTAAAACTTAGCTAATAATGAGCTAACCTCTAGTCCAAAAAATGAACTAAAAATCAGCTCATAAATGAGCTAAATTCCAGCACAAAATTCTTTGAGCTTGAAGACTTGGGAGGGGCCAAAAATTGATTTAATTTGGGCCTGAGTTGACCCCCCCCCCTTGCCTACATAAGACTCCCCTTCTTGAGGACTCAGCTCCCGATGAGTCAGATCTTGTTGTCTTCCGAAGAGGAGAAGACGGAGCATCCAGTTCATTAATCAGGTCTTCATACTTCTGCATGATCTCATCTCGTTCTTTCAGGAATTGATCTTGTAAATGCTGCTTTTTCTTCATGTACCTTTCTGTACGTAGGTGCATCCATACTTGAAGCTTGTACAGTTCATATTCCAGAGGATGTGTTGACTTTGATGGGATCCACCTATCCAAAGGATCTTCAATTTCATCTGATTTGCTTTCTTCTGTTTTTTTTTTTGTCTTTTTTTCATTTTTTAACTGACTCAAAAAAGACTCAAAATAAACCAATCTAAACTTAAACTCACAATACGACTCACGACAAGACTTACAAGACTCACAAAACTCTCGACAAGACTTGACTTGACAAACAAAATCAAAACTTGACAAACTAAAACAAAACTTGACAAACTCACAAACCTAGGACTTCCTAACTTGCTCTGATACCAAATGATGCGGGCAAAAAATATAGGGGTGTCTATACCCTTCGCCCACAAATAAAGGAGACCGGGACTTCTACCGACGAAAATGACTAAGGACGAGAAAAAGGAAGAACAAAACTGCTACATTTCAAATAAAATGAAAAAACTAGAAATTAAAAAACTTACAACAAAACGACGTGACTTGACTACAACTTGACAAACACACAAACCTAGGACTTCCTAACTGTCTCTGATACCAAATGATGCGGGCAAAAAATATAGGGGTGCATATACCCTTCACCCACAAATAAAGGAGACCGAAACTTCTACCGACGAAAATGACTAAGGACGAGAAAAGAAAAGAACAAACTCTTACATTTCAAATAAAAAGACCGAAACAGAAATTACAACACTTACAATAATGACTCATTCACTTGACGACACCCTAAAGTTGCTTCACTTAGAGAAGAAGGATACAAGTGGAGTGGCACTTGCGAAGAGACGAAAGAGGATAGAAGCCCGAGAAGAAAGGTTGGAAAGAGCCTGCAGGATTTCCGGAGGGGATGAGAAAGAAGGGTGAAAAGAGCCCGCAGGACTTCCAAAGCAAACCCGCAGGTTATAGCTTTTCCAAAAATAACATATCATTCACTTTTTTTAAACATTACAAATCCTCCCATATTTATAGGTATGAAAGAGGATACCAAGAGACACCTAATAAATTCCCATAGGAATTCTAAACATCACATAGCATTAAAATACCTAAAAAACATCCAAAGCCAAGGAACCGAAGAGGCATCCACGGGAACCAAGGAGACCGCCCGGAACCAAGGGGCACGGTCACGGGAAAGAGCCCAGGCACGGGAAAACCAGCAGCCGGCCGGAATCCAAGGGGGCAAATGCACAAAAAGCCATGGTGGAATTCAAGGAGCCACACATGGGAAAATAAAACATCAATCTTGGGATTCCAAAAGCCCTTTTGGAACCCAAGAGACACCATAACTTAAAATATTAAAAACTATAATAAAAGTGCATTAAATAAAAGATAAATATGAGCTAAAACTTAGCTAATAATGAGCTAACCTCTAGTCCAATAAATGAACTAAAAATCAGCTCATAAATGAGCTAAATTCCAGCTCAAAATTCTTTGAGCTTGAAGACTCGGGAAGGGCCAAAAATTGATTTAATTTGGGCCTGAGTTGACCCCCCTTTGCCTACATCAAATTATGTTCGTGTGCAAGAGACAGGCGCAGTTCTGCTAACAGGAGTCGAAGTAGCTCGGGATGGTGCCTCCCGAAGTAGGGAGGTCCACTCACTGCCTGCTCAATCGGTTCTAGATGTGCACAAATGGAAGACCGGCCAGCGAGAGGTTTGATTCACTCACGTGAGACGAACGAGAGGGAGGGGGATTTGGTGGACGAGTTCGGGTCAAATAGCTGGCTTGGCAAGGTATATATCTGAACATCCTTTTCTTTCTTTCCTTCTTTCATTCTTTTTCCTCCGTTTTCCTGCATCTACTATAGCACCTAAACCAAAATTCCTTCACTACTTGTTGTTCCACCTAGCTACAAGTCTTAGAAAAATGTAATATGAATAGTTGCAGGCACGCACGCGCACCTTCAAATCCATTGCCATCTTATACACCCGTGCGCGCGCGCGTGCGTGCTCGCACACACACCTTTAAGTCCATTGCTATCTTTTACAGTGCCCCCACACACCTTCAAGTCCACTACCATTACACACACACACTCTTACGAACACGCGTGCACGCAAATACACCTACAAGTCCACTGCCATCTTTCGCAATCCCCACCCCTCTAGCGTAAAACTTGTCAAATAATCATGGCATGAATAGTATAATATATTGTGTTAATGTTGTGGTGTTTCCTATAAGCGATACGTTGTATGGCCTGAATATAGCGAGAAGTGTGCAAGGGCAACTGCATTGGCATATGGATGTACTATTAAATAGGAAAGGGTTCCCACATCATGGATGGATGTGCGCAAAGAAACTAGTCCATGAAACTAAAATTAGGTTAGAAACTTCGAATATAAGTTTCCTTATAGGCAAATTAATGGAATTAATAGATCTTATGATTCATAAGAACATAAATATTTTATGTATTCAAGAAACTAAATGGGTTGGAGAGAAGGTTAAGGAGATTGATAGTTTAGGATTTAAGCTATGACATTCTAGTAGGAGTCATACTAGAAATGGCGTAAGTGTGATTATAGATAAGAGTTTGAAGAATAATGTTGTAAAGACTAATATAATTAAAGATAGAATTATAGCTTTAAAGATTATTAATATTATAAGTGCTTATACTTCTCAATTAGGTTTGGATGTGTTCAAAATTAAAATTTTGGAAAGACTTAAAAGAATTAAATGTTGGTAGAGAGGTAGATGATTTGAAAAATACTCATGATAGCTATGAGTTTGAAGCGACATATGAAATTGGTAAAACCATTTTATATTTTGCTCTAGCTTATGTTTTTGTAATTGTTAATACCTTATTTACCAAAAAAGATGAATATCTCATCAATTATAAGAATAGATATAATAAAACTCAAATTGATTATTTTCTTTTTTCATTCAACATGGAAAAAGATGCCCGTTTGATCGCCATATTTCCCTATTTAATTGAATTCACCGTACCTTTTCAGGCCAAAGTCAAATGCATCACAAAATAAATTATGGCAATAGGTATGGTAAAATAAGTCAGCATATGTAAATATGATCTATATCCAGAAAATTGGAACATGAAAGCAAAAGCTAAAGGTTGGAACCTTTGGAATATGCTTGTAAGTAGGTTTTGCCATGGTACCTGCATTAGCAGAATGTGAAATCCAATTGAGAGATTTTAAAGTCATACAATGACAGTATGGAATATAGAACAAGTGCTATTTATTTTGATGTTGTTTTTGAAAAACAGGGACAAGTACCTATAGAAGAGGAAGTTTCTCCAGGAATATAAGCACTAGCTGAAAATTTTAAAAAGATAGATCTTATGTAAGGAAACTAGACTTTTTACAGGAAACAGAAAGTACTATACAAAATTTATACTTACAGCCAGTGTAAGGATCACGAAATGATGTATCAAGTGAAAAGTCCCTCTGCCCAGTATTTTGGAGTATAAATTCTACAATCTGTTGGCGGTAAGAAAGGGGTAGATTTTCGTTCAGAAGCCACTTATCAGCAACTTCGTAAGGGTTATCTGTAGAACGCAAGTTGTTCAGAGCCCTTGCAAGGTGCAGCATATATTAGAAAGATAAATATATCTCAAATGATTATGCATGTAAAAGCAAAAAAAAAAAAAAAGACAATTCCATGCCACAGCAACCAATACATTACTCCAACCAACACATACTAATGAGGGCAGAAAAACTTGCAGGCGCCTAACCATTTAAGCGCAAACTAAGGAAGACAAAATAAAAGAAGAGAATTGATGCTCTGTAATGCTAACTTCTTCATTGGAATAAAATAGCAGGTGAAAATAAATATGCAAAAAAAAGATAAATAGATTGTATAGCAGATAGGGTTAACAATTTATGCCATAAAAACACAAACTAGGAGCAAAAAATAAATTTGAGTTCACATATTGATTTGGAACTCCTAGTCTTCAAGCGACAGAAGAAAACAGAAGCTAGATGAGTTATATTATCATTATTGTGCAATTGAGTATTTTTACTGAAGATCATTACATTTGAATGAAGCTAGGAGTTGTTTAGATTTGGATGACCATACTTAACACGCAACTTCATAACAGAAATTAGGTTGGCTCACAAAATAGAACGTTAAATGCATAGTGTGAGCCAATATAACATTACCTTTAAAATCACTGTTTGACATTTGAAACAAGCCGTTTGCAATTCTTTCAATTTTTTGATGAAAACAAATTTTATTATCAATGAAATGAGTACAACACAAAGAAAATAAAGAACATCGCACCATGATAAAAACCAAAAATAACATACATCAACATGAAACATGAGTCATTTGCCTGAAGAGAACAACATTGAGGGTGCCATTAGAGATATATAACTTAAAGACTGGCATATTTTGTAGAGTGACAGTATGCTTTCTTGCTATTTCTTCCTCTCCTAGTATATTAAATTTAGAACATTTTTTTTCTATTAGCTCTTTTGCACTATAAATGCAAGTCAACGCATTGAGAATTTAGATTACTAATATCCCCAATAGAAAATGATCATCAAGAGCAAAAATCACTTGTGGATCTTAAATCAATAAACTTGGGAGTAGGTGCGAGGTCAATCACTACCATTGGGCTAACATCCAAGGAAAACACTGAATTCAAGACATGATCTAAAGTTGATTCAAAGTTTCGTGTACAAGCTAGATTAGTTGTAGTGAGAAATGTCACCACTGCACTAGAGGGTAGGTTTTTATCGATGAACGCTCTGCAAAGCCCAATTATGTGGAGATTTTCACAATGCTGGGTGTGATTTGAAGCATTTGAAAAGTTGTGAAACCAAAATTTGCAGCAAGAACAATATAAGGGAAGTCCACAAATTCCGCCTTTGATAGTATCCATAAGCAATAGAGGGGTAGTTACATCTATTTCAACCAATACTCTAACCACCAATGACTTGGATAACTTTGCAATAGCATCATCCACCTGAAGCGGTTTACCAAAAAATGAGCAAAAATAATACTAAGAGGATTGATCGAAATAGTGAATCCGTAGTTCTATAAAAGTAACCCTAACTAGAGTAACATAAGATTCCACGAAACAATAAAAATGAGATCATTTTTAGGAAAAAAATCAGTCATATATCCTTGAGAAGAGTCTAGAAAAATTAGCATTTATGAATAACTTGATAAGAACAAGGCAAGAGCCAATAAGCCCAATTGAATAATGCCAAATTAATCTCAATTTGATCATAAATCTATGAACAATCTGTATACTAGGGTGGCCCCAAAAAAACTTGCCAATATGGTGAAAAGGAGACGCCAACTAAGATATTTAAGTGAAAAGGAGATGCCAACTAAAGTATTGAGGCCAGGGATGACAGGAGTGCAACTACCAACATCTGGAGGTGCCTGTGCATCGCAGCAAAGGCATGATAACAAATGAGAAGATAACCAATACTATAAATGTGTGAAGAGAACTAACACGTGAGCATCTGTGAGTGTGAAAACAGCACAAGGTGGAGAAACACAAGTGTGCATGCACACATAGATGATGAGAATAGGAAGCACAAGAACTAGAGGTTGAGCATGAGCACGAACGCCATGTGATTGATGGAGCACGAGCATGAGATGAATATGATAAGCCCACACACTACATAAGGTATGGAGTGTGGGCATAGAGCGCCTATGAGGGTGAATAAGATGTAGTGCAAGTGCACTCACGCATGATCACGAGATTGCGCAATCGAGGAGATGGAGCAGTATAGAAACTTGAAAAATACTTTTTTAGGCAATTCCTTGGTGAGGATCCAACATGCGGTATTTAGGGTCCAAAGTATGGTACGCCAAGGTAAGAGCAAACATTATGTAACATGTCACAGTGTTGTAGGTTGTGTGCTTCAAATTTTGAATGGGTCTGCACTCAAAATTTGAAAATGACTTACAAAGTCATTTGTAAGTCCTAATCCTAATATATAAAGGCCATCTTCTCTTCCTTCGGATGCAATGTTGGTATCAATACTCTCTTCAATGAATTAAAGTTTTCATGAATGAGAAGTACTTAATCTCCAACTATACAGTTTGAATGGACAAGCCGAATCAAACTTGGCCAATTTAATGCCTCTTCTGTTTTGCTTTAATTTGCTATCTCCCATTTCAATAATTTTTTCAACCTTTCACTTTGATTGAGCCAAATCGAAAAATCGGGTCCAAATAGACTTCATTTATCGTATCTAATTTAACCATTATCCATTCAAAATTTCAACTAACTTGCCTTGGCTTTTACAGCTATCCAAAGTTTCATTTTTGTGAATTAGATGGTAAAAAATGCAAGGGCGATGATGGACGCTTATCCTATTATAGTAGCAAGCTCAGGATCTTAGGGGTGATAAAAGATTGATCTAGGTTAGTGGCTTGAAATAGCACAAGGGTATGAAAGTAGTGCGACCCTGCAACATTGTTAAAATCGAGTTTGTTGAGTTTTTCGAAGGTACAGAAGGTGAAACCATTTCTTCTTTCTCATCTTCTTCCTCTCCATTTTCCCAGAGCAATTTATTTGCTTCCTTTACATATATGATGCACCGACACTTCTCCTCAAACAGGCGTGCAATGTCCGACACCATATCCGACACGACACTCGTCCGACACTCCTCCGACACGTGTCAGACACGCCGAAAACGTGTCCGATTAAATATTAAATACAAATTGGACACGCGTATCCAACACCCGACACGAGTATCTTAAATATTTTATGAATTTTTTTAAATAAAATTTCTTATATTTGGCGGGATTTAAACTAAATTTCTTATTTCCTATCCACAACACCAAATCAACGTCCGCACTTAATACCAAATCATCGAATATTCTCATTTTTATTTCTTTTTGGCAGTGAAGGTATTTTCATCTCCTATCTCGGTGACTGATAAACGGCATCGACGCCTAACTCTCGACATCCTAATACTAATCATTTTAAGTACAAATTTCTAGTTAAATGACTTATTATTTTCAAATTATTTTTAAAATTATACTTACTTAATTTTTATACACTATTTTTTAAATATAAAAATTATAATATTGTGTCCAACTCGTGTTTATATTTTCAATAACTGACGTGTCCCGTGTCCGTGTCGTGTTGTATACATGATGCCGTGTCCATGTCTGTGCATCAAAACTTTACATATACTTATAGCAAAGAATGGAGAGTAACTCACAAATCACCCAATAAATCATTACTCAAGAGACTTTTAACCATTTGGAAACATACGAGTTTTGTCCTTAACCATAATATAGTGGTGTCATTTTGCAACAAAATTACTAGGTTAGAGAGCACACATCATGCCCCTGCTAACGATAAGTCAATTGAGAACTATGATGCACGAACACGGACACGGCGACATAGATAAAACACGAACACAAGACATGCCAATTATTGAAAATATAAGAGATGGACAACGGTTGGAAACAGTATTATAGTTTTTATGTTTTAAAAATAATGTATACAAATTGAATAACAATTCTATTAAAAATAATTTAGAAAAAATAAGTAATTTAACTAGAAATAATATTAGGATGTCGAGAGACGAGCATCACATAAGGAAAATGTCAGACTTTGATATCGAGATCGTTTTGAAATGTTGATGTTGTAACGACATCAGACGTGTTGAGATGATATCTAGCGTTGTTGTGAAATCAAAGTCATAACCTGCCAAAGTGAAATGAAAATGAGAATATTCAATGAATGGGGTATTACGTGTGGGCAATTGATTTGGTGTTGTGAATAGGATATAAGAAATTTTGTTTTTATATCTTAAGTAAAAAAAAAAATTTAAATACAAGAAGTTAGATTTAAAAAATTTATAAAATATTTAAGACACATATGTCCAATTTGTATTTAATATATTTTTTTAATCGGACACATTTTCTGCATTCTATGAGAATGTGATTGACTTTAGTGACCTTAGTATCCTAAATGAAAATATAGATTTTTTTGTTTTTATCGACGTATTAGTAAAACCGAAGTTAAAGAGGTTTTAAAAAAATGAGGTGTGGAAAAGTTGTTGAACCTGATGATATTCCAATATAAGTGTGGAAATGCTTAGGAGATGAAGAACTTTTTTGGCTTACTAAACTTTTTAATATTATTTTGAAAACTAAAAAGATGCAGGATGAGTGGAGAATGAGTGTGTTGGTTCATATTTTTAAGAATAAAGGTGATGCACAAGATTGTGCAAATTATAGAGTTAATGTGTCATACTTATAAAACTATGCGGGAGAGTTATGAAGCATAGGTTGCAGCATGACACTAATGTTTCTCAAAATCAATATGGATTCATGTCAGGTAGGTCTACTATGGAAGATATACATTTATTGAGAGATTTGTTGAAGAAGTATATAGAATAAGAAGGATCTACATATGATTCATATTGATTTAGAGAAAGCATATGATAAAGTTCCAAGACAAGTGCTATGGAGGGTTCTATATAAGAAAGGGATTAATAATGCTTATATTTAAGTCATTAAGGATATGTATGCAGAAGCTGTTACCTGTATTCAAACACAAGGTGG